GCAGCTTTTTTTTTTTTTGTTCAGGGGGAAAAAAAATATTCTAAAACAGGCACCCTGACATTCCTTGACCAAAAGGCAAAAAAGAAAGAAAGAAAGAAAGAAAGAAAGAAAGAAAGAAAGAAAGAAAGAAAGAAAGAAAGAAAGAAAGAAAGAAAGAAAGAAAGAAAGAAAGAAAGAAAACACACTCAAAGTGAACCTTCCTGGGTTTTTTGTTTTTTTTTGGGGGTTGGTTCAGAGGGAGTCAGCTGCGCTTTCCCCTCCCCAGGCCTGGGGAATGTCCCCTTAATTGTAACTGACACACAAATTATGCAACTGATCTGTGTGAATGCAAAGCTGCCAAGGAACGTAACATTTCAGTTTGCCCAGACTGGCGTCAACACAGATACAATCGCACAGGGTGAAACATATTAAGCCTTAATTGCTTAATGCAATGGGTCTCCAGGGGTGGCCATATTAGCTTACCCAGGTTTGAGAGGTGGGGGGGGAGAGAGAGAGAGAGGGAAAGACAGAGAAAAGAGAGATAGCGATGCAGAACAAAACCGGCTTTGAAGAGAGACAATGGTCAGAAGTTGCCTTCCATTCTCCTTTTACTTATTTAGCTCCCTGCTGCATAGAAGCCTTCCTTAGATAAGACTTTTTGATTTGGAGACAGTAGAAAGGATTCTAGAAAATAAATGAGGGGGGGGGGCGTGAAATCCAAGCTAGATGACTTTGCAAAGCGAGGAAGACCCTGAGATGGTCAGATCCCAGGGCTATCACTTATCCCGGGAAGTTATTTTTTTTTTTAAAAAAATCCCATTAGGGGGCAATAGCCAGCCACTTGCTTCCATATACTGCCAGGAGGGAGGGATCTCCACATGCATGTGTGAAAAATCAGAGGAGTTTGGATACAGCTAGTCCTTGGCTTACGACCACAATGTGGCCCAAAATTTCCCTTGCTAAACGGGACGCTTGTGAAGTGAGCTTTGCCCCATTTTACAACCTTTCTTACGTCAACTGAATCGTTGCCGTTGTTAAGTGAGTAACACGGTTGTAAAGGAGATCTGGCTTCCCCGTGAACTTTGCTTGTCAGAAGGGTTGCAAAAGGGGATCACATGACTCCGAGAACGCTGCGACCGTCATAAGAATGAGCAAACTGCCAAACATCTGAATGTTGATCACATGATCACGGGGATAAGTGTGAAAAACGGTCGTAAGTCCCTTCAGTGCTGTTGTAATTTCGAACGGTCACTAAACAAGTGGTTGTAAGTCAAGGACTATCTGTACAGGTAGTCCTTGACTTACAATGGTTCACTTAGTGACTGTTTGAAGTTACAACAGCACTGAAAAAACTGACATGGCCATTTTTCACACCTATAACTGTTGCAGCCTCCTCATGGTCACGTCATTTACATTCGGATGCTTGACAACTGGTTCACATTTATGACAGTTGCAGGGTGCCAGGGTCACGTGATCCCCTTTTGCGACCTTCTGACAAGCAAAATCAATGGGGGAGTCAGATTCACTTAAGGACCGTGTTAGTAATTTAAAAACTGTAGTGATTCACTTAATAGAAGAAAGGGATGACAGAGAATGAGGTGGCTGGATGGAGTCACTGAAGCAGTAGGCGTGAGCTTAAATGGACTCCAGAAGATGGTAGAGGACAGGAAGGCCTGGAGGAACATTGTCCATGGGGTTGCGATGGGTCGGACACGACTTCGCAACTAACAACAACAACGATTCACTTAACAAGTGTGGTGAGAAAAGTAGTAAAATGGGGCAAAACTCACTTAACAAATTTCTCACTTAGCAACATAAATTTTGGGCTCAATGGTGGCCGTAAGCCAAGAACCACCTGTAGTCGCTTTTCTGACTTTTAGTATAAAAGACATAATTGGCTGGTTGGAAAAGTGATTAATGGGTATCTGAGGTTTCACATATGAATAGGTTATCAAAAGTTGGGTTTAATTTAAAGGACACTTTCTCTTTGATCTCAAAAGGCCGATGACCTTTAGATTGCATTAGAACAGGGAGGGTCTGGCCTCAAAGCGAGATCAAATTTCAGGGTAGGGGTTTTTTTTTTTCTCCCCCTTTTTTTCCTCTGCTTACTTTGATAAGGATGGCAGTCCTGCAGGATACCTCATGCAAAACCTTAGGGAAAGAAGACCCTCACTGCTTCCACCCTGATGGATAGCGCTGTGTAAATTTTGTTATACAACAAACAGCAGGACAGGATAGGATAGAACAGCACGTTTGCAATGCTATACCAACACGAGATCTTTTTCAGAAAAGGGTGGGGAAAAAGGCAGCACCCCTATGTGCTTGTTTTCTCAGTGTGGGCGCGTTCAGGATGTACACTGCTTTTTTTTAAATTACAAGTAGTCCTCATTTAGCGACTGCCTCGGACAGTGACTGTTCGCAGTTATGACAGTGGTGGCAAAGTACATTTGCAGCCGGTGCCCACAGCCAGAACCTTTGCGGCATCTCTCTCTTCTGAGCCGTACGTTTCCCATTATAGTCAGTCAGTACGTGTTGTCCTGGGTAAAAGCTATGCACAGTTGCGTTTAGGTGGTGTTTCACTCAGCGACTGCTTCGTTTAATGACCAAATTGTTGATTCCAATTGCTGGACACTAAACCAGGGCTGCCTATATTCAGGAGCGCAGTTAAATGTATAAAATTCCCTACATCCCATTTGCAAAGGAACCGCTCGTGAATCTGGTAGATCACTTTGCTGCCAGATTCAACATATTTTAGTGGGGGGTGGGGAAGGGAAATTTGACAAGTGAGTTATTTCGCAGTCAGTGGACTGATGAAGTTAGCCTTATTAATTTAATGCTGTGGGCATTTACTATTATGGGCAAGGATTGCTTAAATCAGGAGTTTACAAGGCTTTCCTGAGCAACTTCTGCATGTAGAAGGTCATAGCTTGAATGTCCTAGGGGAGGCCAGAAGCCTGGCTAAATTAGCTAACCTCACCTCTGGGCTGAAAGCCAGAGTAGCTCAATTAATTTTCCTATTAATATTCATGGAGCTCCATACAAGCTGTAATCTGGCTCCAATTTACTGTTTTTGTCCTTGTGAGCTGGAGAAATTTAGAGACGATGTTCCTCAAAGGGGTCACAAAAGTGTGGTGTTGCATTTTGGAATTTAATTTGGTGCACACCGGTGGATTGGCTCAGCATGTCTGCAGGCTAAAGACTATCTTTTAACCTCCAAACAGAGCCAAATGAATGGATTTTGGTAGGATTTTCAGCTTAAAAACATGAAAATAAGGGACTAGGAACAGGAGCATAGTGAAAAAAAAAATCTCTTCACAGCCTTAAACACCATTGGCTAGTCCACGGGTAGGCAACCTTGGCTCTTTTATGACTCGTGGACTTCAACTCCCAGAATTCCTGAGCCAGCCATGCTGAGGGGAAAGGGAGAGGTTTCCAAGCTGAGCCATGCTGGCTCAGGAATTCTGGGAGTTGAAGTCCACAAGTCATAAAAGAGCCAAGGTTGCCTACCCTGCCAGTCGGTATTTCTCCACCTTGGTGCCTCTAAGATGTGTGGACTTCAACTCCCAGAATTCTCTAGCCAGCATGCTGTTGAGAAAAACATGAAAATAGGCCCAAACAGCTTAATTTTGAAGATGCTATGGGTGAATTTAAAGCTTGGCAGTAAGGATGGCAGTGGATATTGAGAGGTTTCCCATCTCTACCCTCAGCCTTTTTCAGAATAAAAACCAGGCTAAACATTTTAAGCCATAAGCTCTACAAAGGAAGCACCACATATCGGATGCCTTCAGGCCCCCTCAATTTGGAAAATGCTGCCAGACATTTGTTAAAGCAGGGATTTAGTACAAAAAAAGGAAGAATTGTTCCATTTCTTGGAAAATGTTCCTCGATAGTTGAGACTAAAAGTTTAATTGCTGAGCCAAACTTCCGCCAACAACTTTTTAGTGGCTGTGTGAGACTTGAAAGTTAAATTAAGAAGCAAAATAGATGCATTATGCTTCGATGGGTTTTTTTGTTTTGTTTTTTTTTAATAAAAAACTTCCTCACCTCTCAAAATTTCCCCAAAAACTTGAAAACCAGCTGTTGCCCCTGCAGGGGATCGTGTTATCACTGCTCTATCCTCCTGTGATGCTTGAAGGTTAATCTTGTTTAGTAACTTCTGCTCCTGAATGGGAAAAGAATCCTGCAGCTATTGTGTTTAAAGGTTTTTGGAACTATTGTGCTTAAAGTTTCTTGGGGGTTTTTTCCCCCACCAAAATAAATCTATCAAGACAAGGGGATTTGTGGATTTGATGACCTTATCTCTTGCACTGTGACATCTTGATGTCATTTTAGGGTCATCGTGATTAGAAACACATCCTGTTTCCATTCTGTTTGTTTGCTCACTCCATAGTACCGTAGTATTTAGTAGATGGAGGCTAAAGGCAAATTGGTTTGGCTTGAATCTCAGAACTTTCTCTGGTCTGGGTTTGAAGGAATTCTGCAGAACTTTTCTGCGGTATCCAAGCTCTGGACATCGAACAGAACATCACTTTCCAAGTTGAAAGGCCTTAGATTCAGAATTCCCTGACACCAGCAATTCTCCCCAAAGCTTGAAGAACTAGGAATTTCTTCCTCTCCATTTTGTTCTCTTGCACTACTTCGACAAGGCAGTGATAAATGTGTCGGGACAGGCCAAGGGGAAAGAAAAGGAGTGAGAGAAGGCACACCGTGCATAACCAGGAGATGCAAAGTCCCATGAATCCTAAAATCATCGCTTGCTGACAGAAATCCAAGAGGCTCTACTCTTTACCTTCACAACTTTGTGAAGCCATTGCGAAAATTGTGCTTTTTTCCCCCACCAGCCTGCTCGAGCCCCCTCGCCTGCTCTCCTCTCCTCCTTCGAAATCCTGCAAAAACTCAAAATATTTCTCAATAAAGGATTCACTCCAACACTCCTTCTCCAGATGCTGCCATCTCCATCAGTTCCTCTTACATCGGGGAGGAGACGGAAAAGAGAATTTTCTGGGTTCCTGCTCCTCTCTTTATACCACTGTCTCATTTCCTTTCCCAGGCTTCATCCACCCATCCGCCCTCTTCGCCCCCCGTTTTACCCTCCCCGAATTCACCATCCTATTGGAGCACTTTTGCCAAGTGTGCAGCGTCTTGGCCGACCAAATCCACATGCTAGACGTGATGCCCACAAGGAGGGACATGAAAATCTTGAGCATCTCCACAGCCATGTTGGAGGCATCTGCGGAGTAGTGGAAAATCCCCCAGTTGGAGATCTCATAGAAATAGCAGGCAATGACACAAGTGGCAGGCACGGTGTAGAGCACGGAAAACACCCCGATCTTCACCATCAACCTCTCCAGCTTGTCTGTTTTGGTCCCGTCCTTTTGAAGGTTGGACCTGATCTTAAACAAAGCCACCAAGCCGGCCGCAATGAAGAGGGTCCCAATGACCAAGTAGGTGAAAAGGGGAGCCACCACAAAGCCCGTCAGGGCGTCAAGGTTCTGGTTGCCCACGTAGCACAGGCCCGTCAGCTCGTCGGCATCGACCAACCTCATAATCAGGATGACGATGGTCTTCACCGCAGGGATCGCCCAGGCAGCGATATGGAAATACGAGCTGTGCATCTCAATGGCCTCGTGGCCCCATTTGAGTCCAGCGGCCAGGAACCACGTCAGGGTCAGAATCACCCACCAGATGGAGCTCGCCATGCCGAAAAAGTACATCAGCAAAAAAATGATGGCACATCCGGTGTTCTTGAGGCCCTCCTGGATGAGAACAGGTTCGACGGCCTCGTCAAAATCACAGGAAATCCTTTCTCGGCCTACGGTCAGCCGGACAATATAAGCGATGCTATAAATATTGTAGCACATGCTCAGGAATATGATGGGCCGCTCTGGATAGGAAAAGCGAGTGGAATCAATCAGAAAGGTCAGGACGGTGAAGGCGGTGGAAATGAAACAGAGACTCGCCCACACGGCCATCCAGATGTCGGTGAACGCCTTGGCGGACCGGCTGTAGAGGCCAGAGTCGTAGCCACACTTGAGAACGCAATTCAAGCTTCTCCGGACCCAGATGTACTGATCTGAGTTTGATCCGACATTCTGGCATTCTTCTCCGGGATGCAAGGGGGCCTTGCTGTGGAGGGGTACCTCTTCGTCTCCTGGCCCTTCCATGCACATGTGATTTTGGTCGTTCTGTGGGGGGAACCTGCTGCAATTCAGGTTTTCTGGCCAGGAGAAGCCAAATTCTTTCAGGACTGGCTCACATCGCCTTTTGACGGAGAGGCACATGCCGATACAGGGGCCGATCGGGATGTTGATTTTCTCCGTGCACAAGGGGACGTAGACGGAACACAGGAAGAACTGGAGGAGGAAGAAAGGACAAAGCAACTTTAGAAAAAACAGGCATGCAGGTGACACTGTCTTCCCAATGTTTTGCATCCTAGACTTTTCTCTGTTCCCCAACCTTGGGTACTTTAAGAAGTGTGGACTTCAACTCCCAGAATTCTCCAGCCAACAAGACTGGCTGGAGACTTCTGGGAGTTGAAGGCCATACGAATCAAAATTGGGGTGCTTGACTCTGGCACGTATTTTAGGACGGATTTCAGTGTCCCAAAGTCATGTGATCCCCTTTTGTGACCTTCTGACAAGCAAAGTCAATGGGGAAGCCAGATTCACTTAACAACCGGGTTACTAAATTAAAGTGATTCACTTTAACAATCGTGGCAAGAAAGGTCGCAAAATGAGGCAAGACTCACTTAACAACTATCTTGCTTAGCAATGAAAATTTGGGGTTCCAGTGTGGTTGTAAGGCAAGGATTATCTGTATAGAAATCAACAATCAGGGACATAGCAAAAAACACATCCTTTGTCTTCCTTAACCCCATCTCGTGGACTTCAACTCCCAGAATTCCTGAGCCAGCATGGCTCAGCTTGGAAACCTCGCCCTTTCCCCTCAGCATGGCTGGCTCAGGAATTCTGGGAGTTGAAGTCCGCGAGTCATAAAAGAGCCAAGGTTGCCTACCCCTGGTCTAGTGGTTAAGGCATCAGGCTAGAAAGCAGGAGACTGTGAGTTCAAGTCCCACCTTAGCCATGAAAGTCAGTTGGGTGAATCTGGGCCAATCACCAGGAGATGGTGAGTTCTAGTTCTGTCTTAGGCATGAAAGCCACCTCGATGACCTTGGGCCTCTCTCTCAGCCCAGCCCACCTCACAGGATTGTTGTTGTTGGGAAAATGGAGGAGGAAGCTGTATTGGATATGTTTGCGGCCTTTGCGGCCTTGAGTTACTTGTAAAAAATAGTAAAGGTGGGAGATATAGATAAATAAATACAATTCAGCCAAGCTTGAACCAAATTCCCACCCTGGGTTCTCCTGCTGCTCTCCCATCCAAATACTAGCCGGATCCTATCCTGCTTAGCTTGAGAGTATTGGATATCAGCCTATCCAAGAATGACAGGATAAAAACTCAAGCTTTTCCCCCCCATTAAAAATGAGAACTGGAAGATTCTGGATTTTACCCAAAGTTTCCATCCCTCCAAATATGCTCGCTCACCACAACAAAGCTAAGATTAATGCAGGCCTGTAATTCACCACATCAAACATGATACGGTTTTTGAAGAAAGAATATTGAAATATACCATTTTTTTAAAAGGGGAGAAATTCAGTGAAAATGATGCTGATATACCCCTGGCTTACCCTCCACCCCTATAGTGAAAGAGCACAGTTGCAGGATTGATAATAATGTTGATGATAGTCATGTTTCAGTTCTCTAGAAGTTTAAACTGGGTTGTTGGGAGGTTTTATTTTGCCCTAGCTTACTGTTCCATACATAGGAAGTTATTTTGCATACAAATGCACAGGTAACACAGGAGAAAAATATGTCCACTCCCAAATGCTAAACATGTATATACATGGCAATATCCCAGCCAAGAACTTTACAAAAACTTCACTGGATCAAGAAATGTTTGAAGCTGCCACCAGAAATAACTGGGATTATTTTAGAGCCAGAAAGAAGCTGAACCGTTTTTATTCAGGCTTAATATAGATTGTCCTCAACTTACGACGGCAACTGAACCCCCCCCCCCCATTTTGGTTGTTAAGTCATGACAGTCATAAAGTGGGTTACCACATGACCACACCTGAATGTAAGACATTTTTTGCTGTTGGTGTTTGCTGTTGCTGTTGTCAGACATGACAGTTGTAAAGTGAACCCAACCGGAAGTAATGCTGGTTTCTTGCAAAAACATAGTAAATTGAAGTTTATGTGACCGCAAGGGCCTGCAAATGGCCGTAAATACAGATCAGTTGCTGAGCTCCCAAATGATGGTCATGTGATATGTGTGTGTGTGTGTGTGTGTGTGTTTGTATGTCAGAGCTTCAAATCTGGGTCCTAAGTAGGTTTTAGGGTATCCATTGTAACTGGTCACAAATCAAGGATTGCCTGTATATCAGAGGTCTTCAAACTTGGCCCTTTTATTACTTGTGGATTTCAACTCCCAGAATTCCTCAGCCAGGCATGCTGGCTGAGGAATTCTGGGAGTTGAAGTCCACAAGTCATAAAAAGGCCAAGTTTGAAGACCCCTGCTGTATATGCTCATAGACAGGGGTCTCTCCAAAATTTGTGGACTTCAACTCCTAGCATGGCTGGCTGAGGAATTCTGGGAGTTGAAGTCCACAAGTCTTAAAAAGTTGCCAAGTACGGAGACCATAGCCATAGACTACTAAATAACAAAGAGTTCTTGTTCAACATCTTCTCATATATTTAACTTGCAACGCCACCATTTGCATGTTTACTCAAAGGTCAGTTTCAGTGTCACCCTTGATGCTTGCCTCCAAGTACACACATTTACTTAGGATCACAAACTCAGTCCTGGAAAAAGCCAGGCCATGGATTTCCTTGTGTGTAGGCTGCACTTTTGAGTCAGACTAGACAAGTTCCTGCAGTTTTCTTAGCAAGATTTCAAAAGTGGTTTGCTACTGCCACCTCCTTAGAGCTGAGAGTAAGTGACTGCCCCCAAGGTCACCCAGCTGGCTTCATGCTTAAAGCAGGACTAGAACTCCCAGTCTCCCGGTTTCTAGCCTGATGCCTTAACTACTACACCAAACTGGATTTTTGGAAATATGAGTGTGGGCTTAAACACACACAAAAAAGACGAGAAATACCTACTGAATTTAATATAAATATTTATAGTTCTACAAAGGTTGTGTTTGTCCTTCTCCTTAAGCCAACATCATTCCACCCCAAATGAATAGAATAGAATAGAATAGAATAGAATAGAATAGAATAGAATAGAATAGGAGCTGGAAGGGACCTTGGAGGTCTTCTAGTAGTCCTCAACTTATGACAATGGAACCCAACCCAAAATTTCTGTCGCTAAGTGAAACATTTGTTAACGGTTTTTTTTCCCATTTTACGACCTTTCTAGCTATGGTTGTTAAGTGAATCACTGCAGTTGTTAAGTTAGTAACACAGTTGTTAAGTGAATCTGACTTCCTTGGGTCATAAAGGGTGATCACATGACTCTGGGACGCTGCAACCGTCATAAATATGAGTCAGTTGCCAAACATCTGAATGTTGATCATGTGACCATGGGGGTGTTGAACAGTCTGTAAGTGTGAAAAATGGTCATAAGTCACTTTTTTCAGTGCCGCTGTAACTTTGAACGGTCACTAAATGAACCAAGGACTGACCTGTACTTTGATAGGAGACACCAAGAAATTCAGCACTGAACAGAAAAAGCAGAGAGAGGTTAGACCTGAACACAGAGTCCTTTGATTCACGCCATGCTCTCAATCTCTGGATCCAAAAGAAGATATAAATTGGGAGGGGGGTGTTCTCAATCCTTTTTACTATGTCCCCCAAATTACAAAAATAAAGCTCAGGAAAAGAAATACAGGCCTATTGATTCACAAACAGAGCTTAATGGAGGTAACAGGCAGACTAAAGATAAGGGGTTAAAATTAATTACATTTGTTTGACAGGATTAGGACCAAGGAAGCCAATAATTAAGAACCATCACCAGCCTTTGCAAAACAAGTAAAACCAATCAAATAACAAAACACACAACTTAGCTGGCTCAGGAATTCTGGGAGTTGAAGTCCACGAGTCATAAAAGAGCCAAGGTTGACTACCCCTGCTCTAGATTATGAAATGTTGTGAAAACTGTATAAAAATCCATGTAGTCGTCAAATCAGCTGGTCAGCTCTTTCAGAACCACATGCTGGTTCTGTTCATCAATAAAGAGACCTTCTTTCAAAAGCAGCCTCCATTTTATTCCCAGCTTGGAACTGGACCTGATTTTTCTTTCCACACTAGTATTATGTAAGGCAGTGTGTGCATAAACTTGTTTAACACTTTACCATCCCCCTGAAAAAGCCACCCAAAACTGGCTGTTCTCCCTTTATGTGTCCAAGGAAATGGAAAACTTTATTGCAGTTTCAGAACGCTAACTATTAATGTGGGCTAGAAACATGCTTGAATGCGTTTGACCTGCGAAGCTTGTTTCAAATGTGTTTTTAAAAGCGAGAGCTTCTTTAGCGTTGCCTAAACTGGGTAACTGCCTGTTTCTACCCTGCAGTTTTGTTTTCATGCATGTTACCTGGAGGGATTTCGCCTCCATTAAGGTGAAAATATCTGACATACTTAAAGGCAACTGCTGGTTTGTCTTTTGTTGATTAATGTCAATTCAGAGCACCCACTCTGGTGTTAAGAGCTGAGTGCGGGCTGTCTAAATTCCTCAGCTACCTGATCAAACACACACTCTCTTGCAGGGATAACCTGCCAATCTCCTAAGACAAGCTTGAGATTTTCTTTTCAAGACAAACAGCTTTTTTTGAAGAAGAAAAAAAAGAAAGAGAGAGGGAGGCTGGCAGAGAGGGAGAAGGAAAAGGAGAAAAACTTTGGAAAGATTGCATTACAGTTTTGCAAAAAAACCAAAAAAAAAAACCCATCACCAAACCCTTCCTGGATTTAGATGTTATTGTAAGTCTGTTTCTTATCTTGGCAGATTCACACCCAGTGGAAAACTTTGCTACCGCTCCTTTCCTCTGCCCTGCAGTTTTTATGCCCAACAAGAAAAAATGTGTCTGTCCTTTTCTAAAACCTGCTCGTGCGGCAAGTCCTCAATTTATGACCACAGTGGAGCCCCAAATTTCCGCTGCTAAACGAGACAGCTGTTAAGGGAGCTTTGCCCCATTTTACGACTTTTCTTGCCATGGTTATGAAGTGAATAGTCAGAAGGTCACAAAAGGTGATCACATGACCCGGGAAATTGCAACCGCCATAAGTACATGCCAGTTGCCAAGTGTCCAATTTTGATCAGGACACTGCCACAGCCATATGTGCGAAAAACAGCCACTTTTCCCCCCCAATATCATCGTTGCTTTGAACAGGTCCAGTTCCAAGTTGGGAATAAAATGGAGGCTGCTTTTGAAAGAAGGTCTCTTTATGGATGAACAGAACCACCAGCAAGCATGTGGTTCTGAAAGAGCTGACCAGCTGATTTGCCGGTACCAAATATGAAGAGGATAACAGAGTCTGCAGAGACCAACATCTTTTGTTAGAAATTCACGGTGGCTGTCAGTTTTCTCCAATTAATCTTCCTCACCAGGGGTGTTATCAAACTCCCTGAGAATAAGAAAGATACTTAGGACTCTTTGAAGGCACGGTTGGAAAGAAAAGCAATTTATTCAATCTTGGCCCTATTTTCTTGGTCTTCTTACTTTGCACACCTGAGATGCACTGGCTTCAAGCTGGCTGTTAACTTCCAGGAGTCATTTTGGAAAACAACAAGGCTTTAACCACAAGGAGCAAGCCAATCCAGGTTGGATTACAAGCCGTGATGAGAAGGGAAGGGAAGGGGGGGGGGTGCTTTCTTTCTTTCGGAAGACTTCCCAGCAGAGTTTGACAAAAATTCAAGTGTTCATAATAAAGCTATCTGAAACCTGTCTGGTTTTTCACACTTCTTTTCAAGTTGCCATTATTTTATTTATCTACTTATTGAGTAAATTTACATAGCCGCCCAACTAATTCACACACAATTGACTGCGACTCCGGGGGTGGCGCAGAACATTAGAAAACTTTTGTTGCTATGATTTTCACCGCAAGCAATATTTGCATTTCCTTATTTCTGTCTCCCTCCCCCCCTCCTTCTGAAAGCAACCTGCCATCCTCTCGGCTTCAGCTGCCAATCTGCCCTCACAGGAGTGGGAAAGAGACTTACGGATGGCACGTGGCAAGTTTCCATGCAGTAGAAACACAATTTGCTGATCATTGGTTGCAAAAACAGCCAAAGTCTAGGAAACGACCCAAGCTGCCTTTAAAAAAAAAAAAAAATTTCTCCTAAAAATAGTGCGGAGAGACAGATCAGCTCCCAGGGAAAAGCCAGCGGATCTCTAAATGTGTTTAAGCAAAGACTTTATTGCATGATGCTGCATGACCTTCTAGTTCTGTATTATCCACTGTGCTCTGGATTCACACTTGGAAGAGATGCATGCAATCCTCACCTTATAAACATTTGTCCAGTGACCATTCAAGTTACACAGCATTGAAAAAAGTGACCTGTGACCATTTTTCACACTTACGACCCAGAGAGCACCTGATCAAAATTTAGACACTCGGCAAGTGGCTCATATTTATGACGCTTACAGTGTCCCAGGATCATGTGTTCACCTTCTGACGAGCAAAAGCAATGGGAAAACCAGATTCACTTAACAGCTGCACAGACTCCACTTGACAACTGTGTCAAGGAAGGTTGTAAAATGGGGCAACATTCATTTAACAACTGTCTCGCTTAGCCAAAGCAATTTGGGCTTAATTGTGGTCGTACGTTAAGGACCACCTGTGTACATGATGTGTTTCTCACATGCAGGTAGGGAAAAGATTTGCAAAGTGAAGGTACTGTATGTATGTATGTATGTATGTAAGTTGGGTGAGGACAGCCTCAAATTATGAACTGAACTGAGATGCAGGCTCTCCTTCATACGTGGCACCGGAAGTTTACAGGTCTTCTGGAAAATCACTTTCCGAGGGTCTCACCGAAGCTGTAGGCCTCACCAAATTATGTCACCTATTATGTCAATGCACACCTATTGTGCCAGGAATATATCCGCGTGCAAACACCACCACTCCAGGACTGAAACCCACCAGTAGAAAGTAGGATGTTGATGACCTAAGACAGGGGTAGGAAACCTTGGCTCTTTTATGGCTCGTGGACTTCAACTCCCAGAATTCCTGAGTCAGCATGGCTGGCTCAGGAATTCTGGGATTTGAAGTCTGGTGTCCAAAAGGTTGGGGACCTATGGTTTAAACTTTAGGCCATCGTGGTACAAGAACAAGCAAGAAAAAACACAAAAGAGGAAAGCAAAATATGTAGAAGGAAAGAATTTAAGAAAAGCTCACTTGGATTAGACCAAGGCCAACTAATCCAGCGTTTGGCATACTATAATATCCAGCCAGGAGCCTTTTAAACACAAGGCCATGGATGGGAGGTAAATATTTCCCTTCCACTGTTGCTCCCTAGCAGTTGGCATGCATGATTCCAAAGACCACAGGTAGTCCTCGCCTTACGACCACAACTGAGCTCAAAATTTCCTCTGCCAAGCAATGCAGTCGTTAAGTGAGTTTTGCCCCATTTTACAACTTTCTTACCACCGTTGTTAAGTGAATGACTGCAGCTGTTAAGTTAGCAACACGGTTGTTAAGTGAAGCTGGCTTCCCCACTGACTTTGCTTGTCAGGTCACAAAAGGGGATCACATGACCCCCCCCCCCACACACACACATACTGCAACCTCATAAATACATGCCAGTTGCCAAGTGTCTGAATTTTGATCACCTGACCGCGGGGATACTGCAATGGTTATAAGTATGAAAAATGGTCATAAGTCACTTTTTTTCAGTGCCATTGTAATTTTGAACAGTCAATAATAAACAAGATGGTTGTAAGTCAAGGACTACCTGTATCAAGACCCTTGAGAGCCCCTGTGAATGTACTATGAATCCACCCAGTCCTCTATGAAAACCTTCGACTGGTGGCCTTCAACAAATCTTAGAAGAATGAGCTGCCTGCAGAAGTTGCGGGCGCTCCAACACTGGAAGTTTTTAAGGAGAGACTGAAAGGGTACAGGGTTTCCTGCCTGAGCAGGGGGTTGGACTAGATGACCTCCAAGGTCCCTTCCAACTCTATTATTATTATAATCGCGTGGCTGAGCAATGAGTGGCACAGATATCTCCTTTTCAGGGTGCCTGAATTTCCCAGCATGTTGTTTTCATGGATGACCCCTAGAGGGGGGGGGAAAAAACCCTCCTTGCCTACCTTTTGTCAATTGTGTGAGATTTTTTTATATACTTATCTTGTGTTTTTGGTGTGTGTCCTTCCCTCTCTCCAAACCTAAAAGCAAAGCCACCCTTCCCTCCCATATGTAATTTTCTCTTGTCCCCTAATCGTCCCGCTTGCTTCTCTCTTCCTTACTTACTTCTATCTTTGGCCCCAGGTCCTCCAAGCTCTGTTTCCCTACTACAACCTTTGCTTGCTTTATTTGCAATGCCCTCTGGCATAATTCCAAGCTTGGAAGTTGCTTTTTGTTTTGTTTTTTTTTCAGCACCGGCACCCTGTTAACTACTTAACTTAGCATAACCCTGATCCCCATTGTAATTTTGATCTCCAGCCTTGGAAGAGGACAATTCTACTTCTTCAGCTGGGCAAAATCCTCCTCCAGCCCCGGTCTTTGCCAAGTACCAGCTTCCTCTTAGTACACCTGATCCCCCCCAAAGCCTCCTGTCTGGAAACACCCAGGAGTGGATTAAGCTCTCCACTACTCCGAGAAAGCATGTTGTTTGTTGAAAGGTGCAGAAAGAGTCATCGTTCTTGCATGCCCGTATTGAATAGGTTGGTAGGGCTATTTCTTGCAAAGTTCTCCCTTTTCTCTGCCAAGCCTCCCTTTTGAACCCCCCCAGCCTTTCGAAACCAGCCCCCCCACCACCACCAGCAGAAAGACAGCCAGATCTCAAAAGCGTTTGCAAAAAAAGGGGGGCTGTTCTTTTTAACCAGGGATGATCACAAGTCTCCTCAGATCTCAGAGAAGGGTCCCTGGATCCAGAGGATAAAGTTTCCAAACAGCTGCCTTGTGACTGTATCACTCTCCGTTAGACTCAATTTCGCTTGACAATTCCCACAACACACTTGACCCCGTTGGCTAATGAGTTTTTTTTTCTTTTCTGGGTTTATTAGTAGCCTGTGTTGGTCAAGCAAGACGAGTCGAGTTCACACCATCTGCCTCAACCTGCAGAGTTTAGATGGGCAAAGAGAGAGAGCGAGAGAGACACAAAGTCTCGGACTACATGCGACCTCGGCCAGCTCTTCCCTTCCTCTCAAGACCTACCAAGAGGCACTCAGCACATGGTCCAGAGAGCTCTTTTCTTGTCCTTTTATTTGTGGCTCTCAACCCATCCGTCTCATTCAAGAGTTAAATCCGCTTTTTCTTTCTTTTTTTTTGCTGAACGCCCGGGCCTTTTAGAACTCCGGAGGGAAGAAAAGTAAAAAAAAATACTGCAGGAAAACGCAATATTTACGACACGGAGCCTTCGGTCCAAAGGCCGAGATCTCCACGCGGCTTTACCTCTGAGTAAGCAGCTCCCACCCCGGGCGGGGGGGGGGGCATCTGCGGGAGCCTCCGCACCCCAGGGGAAAAGTTCCACCATCCCGGGAAGGAGAAAGTGAATTGACCCCAGGGGGGAGAAAGGGAAAGTCACCCCAGGAGGAGGAGGAGGAGAAGGAGGCGAGGACGGCGGGCACCCACCTGCAGCTGGCTGGAGCAGCCGTACTGGATGAGCGGGGTGAAGGTGGTCAACTGGAGCTCGGCGTCGGTCTGGAACTGGCTGCCCACCAGGTTGGGCATCTTGGTGACGTTGTAGCCCAGGTTCTGGCACATGGAGATGCGGATGGCATCGCAGCGGCGCTCCTCTTCGTCGCCGAAAGCGCACGCCGCCTCCAGCGCCGCCAGCAAGAGCAGCGCCGCCGGCAGCAGCTTCTGCCCCGCGGCCGGGCACATCGTCCGGCAGGCGGGCCGCCAATCCTGCCGCCGCCGCCGGCTCCAGCCCCTGCCGGAGCAGGAACCGAGAAGGCTCGCTTCGAGCCGCCGCCGCCGCTCCTCTCCCCGCCCGCCTCTTGCGCCGTGTGCGCCCGCCGAGCGCGCTTCTGGCTCCGCCGCCGGCGCAGCGCGCTGTGACACCAGGCGAGGCGGTGCTGGCTGGGCGGAGAGGGCGGCGCCGGGCCCCCGGCGAGGAAGGGGCGAGGGCGGGCGGGCGAGCGAGCAACCTGCCCAGGGGAGGGCCGGCCCCGCTTCGGCCCGCCCCCGCCGCCCGCGGCCTCAGCGCCGGCCGAGGAAAGCTGGAAGCGGCGCCGAGCGGGAAGCCCGCTTGCCTTCCCGCGGGCAGCGAATTCGCCTCGCGAAGCTCGCAGCGGGAGAGAATCCCGATCCTACGCGAAAGGGCTTAATGCCGCTTCAGAAGGCCTCGGGCTACAGGGAGTCCTCGACTTAACGACAGCTCGTTTCGTGACCCTTCGAAGTTGCAGCGGCCCTGGGAAAAAAGGGGACTGAGGGCCGTTGATATTCGCAGTCACGACCTCGGTTTACGGCAAACAGCTCTCAAAAGGGTAACCACCGCCAATGCAGGTAGCCCTCGGCTTACGGCAGCTCGGTTAGTGACGGTTCGAAGTTACGACGGCACTGAAAAAAGGGACCTAGGACCGTTTGTCACACTTACGACCGTTGCACAGCTCCATGGTCACGCGATCAAAATTCAGATGCTTGGCAACTGGTTCATATAATAATAATAATAATAATAATAATAATAATAATAATAATAATAATAATAAAGTTGGAAGGGACCTTGGAGGTCATCAAGTCCAACCCCCTGCTCAGGCAGGAAACCCTATACCATTTCGGACAAATGGCTGTCCAGTTTCTATTTATGACGGTTGCAGTGTCCTGGGGGGTCACGAGAACCCCTTTTGTGACCTTCTGATGAGCAAAGTCAATGGAGAAGCCAGATTCACTTAACAACGGTGTTACTAACTGAACAACTTCAGTGAGTCGCTTAACCATTGTGGTAAGAAAGGTCGTAAGATGGCGCAAAAATTCACTTATCAAATGTCTCACTGAACAACAGAAGTTTTGGGCTTTGTTGTGGGCGTAAGTCGAGGACTAACTACTGGATTCAGTTTGGGTCGCCAAGATATAGAAAAAGATGCTGAGACTCTAGAAAGAGTACAGAGAAGAGCAACAAAGATGATCAGAGGATTGGAGGCTAAAACTTAAAAGGAACGGTTGCTGGAATTGGGTATTATTTATTTATTTATTTATTTATTTTATTACATTTATATCCCGCCCTTCTCCTTGCGGACTCAGGGCGGCTAACAATCAGATAAAATACAAAAATACAATACACGTTTAAAATTAATTAAAAAGAAATATTTGAATCTGTTCCACTTAAAAGTAATTAAAACCCCTTTAAAATCCCTTAGGCCAGTCCCGCAAGCTGGNAGGGCTATTTGTAACTTACTAAAGGACAAACCAATCCATATTTATTCAAAATTGCGCCCACATAATTGTGGCAGGATTCCCATCCTAGGCATACCATATTATGTAGGATTGTACCTGAACCTGAAACAATCCTTATTGAAAAAGTTTACTTTGCAAAAACACCACTGTGCAAATCACTATGCCCATGAAAAGGTACCCCTCCCTCTGCTCATATCCCCCCTAATCCTTACACACTGCAGGGGATACTTTCCCAGATAAGATTCTTCTACAGTCCAGATAAGAGGATTTTGCTCATTAATTATATTGCCACTTGAGACTGATAAGGTTTAAGCTTGTACAAAAGGATGCATTGTGATTCCTTCCACAAAATAATGTCCAGCACTGGTCAAGAAAGGAGTGAATATTTTTGCCCCGCTGAGTGAAAGCCAATCCATCCATCTAGGCTGGGAAATGAAGTTATGAAAAACACAATGGGAGTTAAAAATGTATGTCAGAATTCCCAGATAGCCAGCTGGATACCAGCCAAGCTGCTTCAGTAGGATGGGTTGTGGCCTACTTGAAGGATCTGATTTTTATCTTTACAGAAAATCTTTTAGGAAGTAGGTTGGTCTCTGACAGAAGGCCACCTGAAGAGACTAGAAGCATTTGAAATGTGGATTTACAGGCGGCTGTTACGTATAAGCTGGGTTGACAAGATCAGAAATGAGGAGGTGATAAGCCACCTGGGAAAGCCAAGGGAAATCATCAAAACAATTAAAAAACGAAAATTAGAATATTTCGGACATGTGATGGAACACCCAGAAAAATACGGCATACTCCATTTAATCCTCCAGGGAAAGATTGAAGGTAAACAAGGTCCAGGCAGAAGAAGAACATCGTGGCTTCAAAATCTAAGGGACCGGTTTGGACAAAAAGCAGCACTTTTTCGTACGGCTGGTGATAAAAACAGGATCGCCAACATGATCGCCAACGTCCGATAACGGATATGGCACAAGAAGAAGAAGGGTTCCCAACACACCCCTAGAGTTCTACATACAAACCTTCACCACTTTTATCATCCCCAAGGATAATGTAGGGTAAACATAAGCTGGAGGCGAAAGCTAAGTCTTCTGACAAGCTCAGTGTTATTTTATTGCAAGGGTGAGCAACTACGACAACTTTACAACCTGTGGACTTCAACTCCCAGAATTCCTGAGCCAGCTTAGCTAGCTCAATAAAGGAGAATATTTGTAGCTCAGGGTTGAAATGAGGGATCCTTAGTATTCTCTGAGCTTGCTTGTTTTCTTGCAGACGTTTCATTACCCAAACTAGGTAACATCATCAGTGCTAGGAAGGACTGAGCTTTGCTCTCCATTTATATTCTAGTGCAGGGGTGGGGAACCTTAGCTCTTTTATGACTCGTGGACTTCAACTCCCAGAATTCCTGAGCCAGCCATGCTGAGGGGAAAGGGAGAGGTTTCCAAGCTGAGCCATGCTGGCTCAGGAATTCTGGGAGTTGAAGTCCCCGAGTCATAAAAGAGCCGAGGTTCCCCACCCTTGTTCTAGTGGCTTGCCCTGTCAGTGTTGGTGGGGGTGGTCTTACAAGTTCTTCAGTTGGGCTGTTTACTGTTAGGCTGTTTGGCAGTCCCTTGACTGATTATTTCTTGATTGTTGGTCTGATGTCAATCTTGGTGTTAATCTCTGCTCATCATCTGAGTTCTGATTGCTGGTTTGTGTGGGTGTGTTTGACAGGTACACTGAGAGGGCAAGCCACCAGAATATAAACAGAGAGCAAACCCTGTTCCTTACTAGCAGTGATGCTACCTAGTTTGGGTAAGAAAACAGCCAAGCTCAAAGAACACCAAGGACCCCCCCTCATTTAAACCCTGAGCCACATATATTTTCCTTCATTGGTATGATCACTAATGATCTAAGCAGGTGCTTAATAAGAACTTAAAGAAGCCATTAGACCAGGGGTGTCAAACTCAATTTCACTGAGGGCCACATCAACATTGTGGTTACCCTGGGGTGGGGGTGGGTGGGTGTGGCCAGAGTGGGTGCAGCCTACTGGGTGGGCGTGGATAGAGTGGGTGTGGCCTACTGGGTGGGCGTGGCCAGTTCTATATCATTCGCGTCAAAGGTGCCTGTGGGGGCCTGGGCAGGAGTGGGACAGATCTGAGGGTCTCTCGCAGAAGGAGGTGGGACCGGGGCAAGTGCCAAGGCATGGTCCACCGGGGCAAATGCCAAAATGGCCACCACAAAATTGTACATTGGCTCCCGGCCGGCCTGGGCCAAGGCCAAGGCAGCGGGGGATGTTCCCTCACTGTTTCCAGGATGGCTTCGCGGGCCACATGAAACCACTTCGCGGGCCGCATCTGGCCCCCGGGCCTTGCGTTTGACATGTCTGCATTAGACAATTTTTGCTGAGGGATCCTTGGTGGTCTCTGAGCTTGTGTGTAAAGGATCTTGGCTTTTAATGGACGTGAAGTTTGTCCCACATACAATTGATTGCAATGGTTACAGTTGATTTTGTAGATTACATTGTATCTTTCATCAGATACAGAAGGATGAAAGGAACAATGTAATCTGCAAAATCAACCGTAACCAGTGCAATCAATTGTATGTGGGACAAACATCACGTCAGTTAAAAACCAGGATCCACGAACACCGGCTGGCAGTCAAATGCCACGATCCCAAATCCTTAATTTCTGCCCACCCTGACACTAATCAGCACCAGTTCGATTGGAGCAACACAAAAGTCATCGGCCACGTTACCACCCGCCACGCTTGTGAGTTCATCGAAGCCGGGCCTTCCACAAGCAATTCCATCAACAAACACACTGACCTACAATCAGAATCCAAATCAACCACACAGCCAACCACAGACAGCAGTGAACAGAAATTCTTTTCGACATAAATGTATTTTAGCTTAAGAGGGACATGTTTTTCAAGTAGTATATTATTTCCTTCTTTCTTTTCTTTTTTTTTTTGTTTTTGTTTTAAGATATGAGAAATGTAAAATTGTTGGGATGGCTTACATGAAAAAAAAGTCTTAAATACTTAAGTGTAATTAACTCTAAGAAAACCTTAACAGGTAAAAATGTTTTTGAACATTGTGGGGAAAACAAATTTAAATAAGAACTTTAAAACCAGGATGATTAAGATGATTAATTAGAAAAGAAGCTTCACATGGATGTGGTTGTTACTTGTAGAAATACTAGAAAAATGTTTATATTCAATTGTTATCTATTAAAATGCTGAGAAATGTACTAATTTAAGGTTGATAAAAGAGAATATTATTGGAAGGAGAGAAAATCGAGGAAAGCTACTATGTGGATTACGGAATTATAGAAACTAATTGTTGTTGATTGTTTGTAAATATAAACCCAGACAACACGCTGTTTACCAAATATTAAAGTGATTATGTTAAAAAATTAATAAAATATATATTTTTAAAAAAAAACAGAGACAGCAGTGACCCTCAACAAACCCCCCCACCAGTTCACCTCCCAATGACCCTCACCTGA